GTAAAAATGACAAAGTGGTAGTACTTGTATAGTCTACATGCAGACACCGACCTAGGGATTACCAGAGTCGTATTTACCGCTCTTGAAATGAATTGTTAAGTTTTGAAGAATTGAAATTGCATGACATCATTGAGCATGTGGGTTTTCAAAAATAAAGATGTGATTTTCTTTCAAAAGAGCATAGCATAGCATGTGCATTTCATCTCTTAAGACTTGTATAAAATGTATATACTTTGTTAAGGATTTCTTACTGGGTTTTATACTCACCCTACGGGATTTTTGTGCAAGAAAAGATGTGATGATGCCGCCTAACTAATGGTGAGGAAATGTGTGTTGAGAGTACGAGACTCTTATTTTGTTGTGACTCTGTGTGTAAGCCAAAGGCTGTATGTGTGTGGATTTGAATAACCGTTTTGTGTAATCAGGGTCAAACCTTGGAAACTTGTAAACCCTTGGGGGTATTTATTTGTTTATTTACTTATTATTGGATTAATGTATTGTTGCATGAAGAACCATTGTATCATGTAATGTAAGTTTGGAGATTTATATTTGGTTTTTGTTGAAAGAGCCATGATTGTTGTATTATCATTTGGGCTAGAAATTTGGGACATTACAGATCATGGGATCATGGAAGGATGGATGAGAAAATGAAAAAGTAAGATAGAGAAGCAGGAAAGTGAGAAAGTAGAAAATGTATATGTAGGATATTTTTTGAAAAATATATCTTAACCATTATTTTATAATTTGAACAGATCTGAGCCATCCAAATATCCTAGTAGGACAAAAATATGTTAAAGATTCAAAAATCGTCCTGCTCTATTAAAATATGTTAAAAATTCATATGAGATCTAAATTTATAAAATCTATCAAGTATTTAATATATTTAAAATAATAATTAATTATTCAAATGCATTTAATTCGTGGACTATAAAATTTATTAATTTAATCTCCACTACACACAGTAAAATCTAACTCCTAATTCTGGGATCGCAGACTTTTCCATATAATATGAATAAAAATAAGTGAACAAAAAGGAAAAAATAAAAACAAATAGAGAGAAAAATAAAAATGGGAGAAAATCAAAAAAATAAAAAGAAAAGAGAGAGGAATGTGGAATTATGGGATTATGGAAGGATATGTGAGAAAAGAAAAAAGTAAGATAGAGAAGCAAGAAAGTAGAAAATGTAAATTTAGGATATTTTTTAGAAAATATATCTCAGCTATTATTTTATAATTTGAATAGATCTGAGCCATCCAAATGTTCTAGTAGGACAAAAATATGTTGAAGATTCAAAAACCGTTCTACTTTATTATATAGATGTTGAATATTCATATGAGATCTAAATTTATGATGTCTATCAGATATTCAACATATTTAAAAATAATAATTAATTATTCAAATTCATTTAATTTGTGGACTATAAAATTCATTAATTTAATCTCTACTACACACAGTAAAATGTGGCTTCTAATTTTGGGATCGCAGACTTTCCATATAATATGAATAAAAATAAGTGAACAAAAAAGAGAAAATAATAAATAAAAAAACAAATAGAGAGAAAAATAAAAATAGGAGAAAATAAAAAAATAAAAAGAAAAGAGAGATAAAAATGGAATCATGAGATCATGGAAGGATGAGTGAGAAAAGGAAAAAGTAAGAGAGAGGAGTAGGAAAGTAAAAAATGTACATGTAAGACATTTTTTTAAAAATATATCGCAGTCATTATTTTATAATTTAAACAGATCTAAACTATTCAAATGTCCTAGTAGGACAAAAATATGTTGAAGATTCAAAAACCGTCATGCTGTATTATATAGATGTTTGAGTGTGGATTATGAAACTTTAATTTCATTCATCGGTAAGTTTATTTACTATTTACTTAAATTATTTATTTATCGCATCTTTAGATTTAATTTCAATCAAACCAGAAATTATTCACTTAGATTAGGATTTATTTAACCTCGAAATTGATTAGTTTTCTAAAAATCATAAGTGTCTGTGAGTTTGATCTCGCACTTATTAAATTATACTATTGTATGGTTCTTGCGCTTACAAGTAATTAAAATTGACACATCAAGTTTTTAGGATATGAATTCAAATCCTTACTTGTGTGAGAGTATACGACTTATCATTATATGATTAAATAATCTTATTATGTAATATTACTTACTAATGACCTCTAAATCTCAACTCTTTATAATCTAACCCACACGTCACCATTCTGTCATTAAACACTTTTTCAAGTTTGTTTCCAAACCTTCATCCAATAAGAACTAATTCAAATGCCATTTTTCAGGGCACGATGTTGTCAGTAGTATTGTCGCTTCCGGTAGCTGAAATGGACCAATGGAAGAGTGTCCCGTGTTTTGAAAGCCAATTAGACAATTAACGGAGGACTGGGTCTCCTATCCATTTGTTTCTCTTTCATCTCTTCTTTTGCTTCTCTCTCTCCTCATTTCACTTTTTTCTTTTTTGGAAATTATACAAATACACTACAAGAAATCAAGGTTTTAAAGACAGAATTTTAGGAACAAAAATAATTTGTCTATAAAAATTATACTTTTAAGGACAAAATAAGAAAATTTAAAAAAAGAAATACTTAATCATATTATTATATTTTTAAGACAAAGCCATTTGGTTGTAAAAGAATTAATGCCTTTTTGCAGACGTCTTTAGTTGGTTGCCAATAAACCTGACTCATCTATTTTTTTATTATGTTTTCACTATTTCCACAATTATAATCGGGATTTCATTTCCTCTCCACACCTCTCTCTCTCTCTCTCTCTCATCCCTAATTTCATTGTTGATTTCATCCCTGCTCTCAGAGAGTCTGATCGATGGTTTGTGGATTTCATCCCCGACAGTTTCGATCCCTAATCTGATCTCTCTCGACAGCTATTTCAGCGATTTCAATCACAGGTTTGATCGATTAATCAATTATTCATTTGAACAAAAAATTATACGAAATCGATGATGTTTTTATGTCTTCGATTCATTCATTTTTAGTTCATTTCTTGTAAATTTACAGTTGAGAAATTTAGACGAACAATCGTCATTTTTTTGATGCTTTTTCCGCTTCTCATAGTTCAGATTTCTTTTTGTTTGTTTCGGCATGACATTGATTTGAGTGATTGTGTTTCTTCAGTTTGTTTGCTCGGAACTCATATTGTTTGGTTTCAATTTATACTTGAATTTGGTTTTCCGAACATTAGGATCTATTATTGTAACATTGATCTGTGGATTTTTTTTTTTCTAATTATTTTAGAGAACAAATTATTTTAGTTCTAAGTGACATGGTTCTATTTTTAGATCAACTTTTACTCAAATTTATCTGGCAATCAACTTTGACATAGTTCAGATTGTAGGAAGAGGTGAAGATTGGGTTCCAAGAACATGAAAAGCGTCTTCAGCCTCTCGTCACAACAAATCTCCCTCTTATTTGTGGGGTTCTGCAGTCAAAAACATCCACATATCTCAGTCATATATATCATGATAAACAGAATTTCTCTAACAGCATACATGCATACATACTATACATAAATATATATTTTTTGATAAATATGCTATACATACATATATATATATATATATTAATATGTATGTATAATTTATAAACAGAAATGAGTGCCATGCTTTAAGATAGACGAGGTTATGGACAAAGTAATCTTGTCCAAAAATCCATTCATAGAGACTTGCCTATGTTTTTGTCTCTGTATGAGTTTATTATGGAACTTCTCCAGTTGTGTGCCTTTTTATTATTTTATTTTATTTATGATACATATTTTTTTATATCGAACTTCTCTGGTTTTGTGCCCTTTTTTTTTTTTGTTGATTCTTTGACAAGTGCCCAAATGTAGTCTTCGACAAAAATGAGCATGGGTTTCAACTAGTCTGTAGGACTTAAATTAAAAATTATATTTTATTTGGTTTAATTAATAATGATTTATTTATTTTACTAGTGCAACAATCCTGTGCAATCTGCCATCTTTCTCTTATAATAAATTGACAGTGTCAAGGTGCCATGCAGCCATGGTTCATGATGCAAAACACCCGTTCTATTTTGTTGAATGACTTTAACTACTACATACGCAGAGTTGAGTTGCTGGATAGAAATGTGTGAAAAGTATATAGAAATATGTAAAAGTGTTTGGAAATATGTGAAAATTGCATTGGGATTCTAACTATTTTGGCATTACCCTTACCTTAACAACAGCCATGGCTGTCATTAGCATGACCCTAAATTCATTTCACCTGGGGTTGTTTTGGAATTACAAACCAGCTAAAATATCAGTTAATACTATTATGATGCTAAATTAAATGCGTAAATTGGAATTACTGTAGCTAGAAATAGGATTTTAGAGAGATATATGCCATGGTTCTTTCTCTTGTACGTAGTGAATATGACAGTTCCGGTTTAGATCCGATCCTTTTCATGTTCTTAGATCCGAAATTCCATATCTTTTAGTGGTATTGTTCTATTATTCATCAATATGAGCACAATAATACTAGCTTACTTGATGACTTTTTACTACTTATTTTTAGAAATTAGAAATGCAATTGGCTTTTTTCTGTTTTGAGGCAAATCATTGTTTGGTAAAGGCAATGGTTATGGTTAGAGCTAAAGATTATCGGATAGCTTGTTGCTTCCTTAATTTCTATTTTGCTCATTAAAATGATTTGGTGCTTGAATTGAAGAGTATCCCACCTATTTAAGGCATTTGGTTCCTTGATTCCAAGGCAATGCGTGCATGTTGTTTTGGTTACCCACATGATAAAGGTTAGCCATTTATTAATTTTAATTGGAGTCAGCTAAGTCATGCAGTCTTTAGTTTAATTTGTATTGGTTGTATTAATGGATTTAAGTTGTATTGGATATATTTTAGCTAGAGTTAGATTTAATTTGTATTGGCTTGCATTAAATAATATTTTGCTTCATTTGGGTATGTTTAAATGTTAATGACTTGTTTATTTTAATTATTTATTATTGATTGACATCCAGTTGTGGCATCATATTTCCTGTTTTTAGTATATCCTATTTTTTAAGCTATTTTTTACATGATACTTTTTCATTGTTTCTAGTAGGCACATCCAAGGGTAAGAGAGGACGTGGGAAGTCACGAAGCCTCAAATTGGCCAAGCTAAAAAATCAAGGGGTGCGACTACCTATTCAGATTTGTAAGGTTAGTGGACGACCATATGGTGAAGCATCTGAAAAATTTACTAGTGAATTAGGGATTGTCACTAGGCAATTTGCCCCACAAAATGTGCCATCGTGGACTGATATTAGTGAAGAGGATAAAGAAACATTGGTTGCATACCTTCAGGTAAGTGGTACAATTGCTGAGATTTAGATTTCCTCTTTCCAAATTATTTTCTAGATAGTTATTTCCCCAGTAAATTTCCTCTTCCCACATTATTTCATCAAGCATTTTGATAGCACTATTTGTACCATTTATTTGTTTCTGGCACAATAATTAACAAGCACCATAAATATCTTTGAGGGAAGGTTTTAATGTGCTTTAATTTTTTCTTGTTTGGTATGATAGGAAGGTTTTAAGTTTACCAATGAACCCTATGCTATTGAATCTATCCTCAATTTGATGCACGACCGGTATAAGAGCTATCGCCATGACCTACGAAAACGCTTTAGAAGTTTCCATACAATGGAATCTGCCCTTGCAGATCCACCTGAAAATATGGAAAAGGAGGCGTGGAAGTTCTTGTGCGAAAAGTGGTCTGACAAGGACTATAAGGTAACTTTGTCAATCTTGTCTCATTTTCTGTCAAACATAGTGGTTTAAATATGAAGTGCCCTAAGCTCCGTGTCATAATATGCTATGGTATGAACAGTAATTGTGTTCCTATTCGAAGTTAAATGCCGAGTTTGATGTAAAATAAACATCACCTTGCAGAATGCTTGTGAATTTGTTGAATCTTTAAACAAGGAATTTATGAAAGAAAAGGAAATGCATCTTTGTAATTCTAGAGTTAACACAACTGAGAGAAGTTGTAGATTTTTGTTGGATCAACTGTTAAGAGGCTTTTGCATTATGGGAAAGACTACTTTACGCATTAAGAAAAATATGCATATTTTATTTTTTGACTATATGATTTATTATGATTGGCATGTGAAAGTTTTGGAAGCATTATTTTCACAATCACAGACTCAAATTGTCACTAGAAAACAATTCTACATTAGTACTTCACTCTGCTGGTCTGCAAGTGAAAGTGATGAAAGCCTACCAACAAACAAGTGCAACCTGCTATCTCCAATTCTATATGTCCTGTAGATGAGAAATGTTTAATAATAAAAGAAACACTTTGTACTATGACTTATGCATTTAATAATAGGTGAGATGTGGCAAGAATAAGTTGAATCGGTGTGTTTGATCCCACTTGAAAACCAAAAAGTTATTGATTTTTTTGACTATATGATTTTTTTGTATAGGTGCTTTTGGGTGGACTTTTCAACATGTTTTGTTTCTGCAACTGCCATTCTTGCTGTGCTTGATCCCACTTGAAAACCAAACAGTTACGATGAAACTAGAAAATTGTTTATGTGGGTTATGAATGGTGAATCGGTGTGAACATTTATAGTTTCCCACAATCCGGTTATGTTTCTTTACGCCTGCTCTATAAAATTATTTAAGCATGCTTGTTACTAGTTTTTGGTCCTTGTCATGTATCCATTAAGGATTATAATCGAGTTATTTATTTCGAAACAGGTAACCTGTTTCAGGGGGGCCGTACAGACGATTAGTGAAGCTTCCATTACTTGTTTATTGTACAATATGTAGCTTTAGCCGTAGGCTGTATCATCTTCCCGATAGTAATTCACTGTCCTGTTAAGCTCTCTGTTTGCTAAATACTAATCTTTCTCACTATTCCTAGTAGGGTTCTTGTTTTGTGGTTTTTCAAAAATATGGAGGGATGCTGGAACCCCTGCTGATTCTTTATGAGGTTTGGCCCGAATGCACCGATGTTCCCAAAACCAAATTCCAAATCAAGGTTTGTTAATTCTTCAAATGCTAATTGTTTTCTTTAACATAACCATGATTGTTAATTGCTGAATTTCAATCAATATTGTTGAGAACCTAGTCCACATTGTGGCTTTTTTTATATTTGGAATTAATAATCAAAGCACTAGATTGTTGGTTGACTTTTGCTTATATTAGTTGACCATTCTGGATTGTGAGAGTTTGGCCTATTCTATGCAGGTCCTGCAAGCTTGCGTCGATTTAAAGCTTAGGAGCTATCTGCCAGATTTTGAATGCCATTTCAACGAAGCCATTGAGAAGAAGATGCGATGAGTTGAGTTGTTTTGTTATGTAGGTAGATATAACTCTAATTACAATCTGTTCATTGAATAGTTGAATGCTACAAATTAGAAATGGTACTTTTGAAATTTCTATCAGATATAGAATCAAGATATTACGTACTAATGAATCAGAGCATGGTATTTGTTCGTTATTGAATTTACAATCTGTTCATTGAATAGTTGAATGCTACAAATTAGAAATGGTACTTTTGAAATCTCTATCAGATATACAATCAAGATATTACGTACTAATGAATCAGAGCATGGTATTTGTTCGTTATTGAATGTGATGAGCATTTTTTTTTTTTGGTGTAGTTGAATTTTAATTTGGAGATGAGCAGATGGTCTGGTGATATATATTTTCTATTTGGTTGTTGAGAAATCAAGAAAGGAATATAAGTTGATGTTCAAACTAGTATTTTTAGAATAATTGTTACAAAATAAAAAAAAATAAAAAAAAAAATTATTAAACTTTTAGAGACCAATTTTACTTGTCTCAAAAAATTTTTAACAAACTTTTAGCCACCACTTTTATTTGTCCCAAAAATTAAAACTTTTAACCACCACTTTCATTTGTCCTAAAAAACCTAAAACTTTTAGAGACCACTATCATTTGTTCCAAAAATGAAATCAAGAAAGGAATATAAGTTGATGTTCAAACTAGTATTTTTAGAATAATTGTTACAAATAAAAAAAATAAAAAAAAATTATTAAACTTTTAGAGACCAATTTTACTTGTCTCAAAAAAATTTTAACAAACTTTTAGCCACCACTTTTATTTGTCCCAAAAATTAAAACTTTTAACCACCACTTTCATTTGTCCTAAAAAAACCTAAAACTTTTAGAGACCACTATCATTTGTTCCAAAAATTAAAACTTTTGGACACCAATTTGTGTTGTCTTAAAAATTAATTTCGTCTCCATAACTACTACAGTGGCCTTGAACTATAATTAGACTTTTAGAGACAAATTTTGATTGTCTCAAAATCAAAACTTTTTGTAACCACATATATTTGTCTCTAAAAGTCTATTTCTAGTGACAAATGCAAAATTTTGTCTCTAAAAGTCAATTTTTGACTTTTCCGGACGGGCTATTTGGGACAAACTTCACGACGGAGGAAATTTGTTGGCTAAAGTTTTTTCCAACAAATATTACACTTTTAGGGACGAAATAAATTTGTCCCTAAAAAGCTGATTTCTTGTAGTGAATACAATATACTATCAGCCAACATAGTACGACAAAGTGTGGGGCTAACTGTATTTTTTCAAACCTCAAGGGAGATGAGTGTAATTTAGGCTTGTTTCTTTTACACCGAAGGAAACCTTGAAATATATTAGGAAAAACCTATGGGATTGTTTTGGACCGCCAAATGTAATGTTTTGGAACGAAAGTGTACCATATTTCAGAACGTGTGTTCTAAAAAGGTAATTCGCTAGGTAATACTTCTTCCTCTTCTTATCTTTTGTAAACAAATCTCCGCTGTATATCTACTATAATGTATAATGTATAATGTTATAATGTTATCAAATTTTTTTGGGTTAAATTTATGTTATAAGATGTATACTGAATGCATATTATTATCAAACCATCAATATTAATATGTTTATATGTAACATTGAGATATTATATGTAATGTTGAGATAAGATCGCATTAAATACTTATTATCACTTGCCATGTTATTCAAACAACTTACATAGATGAATTATTGAAAAGAATTGTTTTTTAACTGCAAATGAAAAGATATACTTATATCTGATATGACACATACCTCTGTTCATATTTTTATTAATTGGAGAAAAAATTCGCAAAGAGAAAAATTTAGACACAAAATATAATTACAGTCTACTTTTTAAATTCATAAACCAAACACAATTTGTAAAAATATTTATATTGAAACTATAGCACGGCCCCACGCGCAAAGTAATATATAAATAAAGTTTTGGTATAGACTTTTTATATTGAATAAGATGATTTTTTGATAATTCTTACATTTTTGTGACCAGTGATTTTATGACATTATTTTGTCTTAAATAGACGTTTGCTTCATCATCGTTTTGGTGCCTGAAATAATAAATATCCCGGTTGAGAGTGTCGAAATTAACTTTCTAACGGTCAAGTCAAATTCTGGATCAAATATATGTTAGATATTTAGGGAATGAATGAAGTTTGGGTGAATATGCATGCATTCTCCTTCCATTTACTTTCTTTTTATAGAGATTTGTTGCAAATATTTGGAGGTACGAAGAGGTCCTAATAGATGCGCTTATTATCTAATAAGTTTTATAATGATTAATGATATTTTTTATTAAATATTGTTAAAAAATGACACGTTAATTTTCAACGACAGTTTAAAAATTATCATAAAAAATGTCATTACTTATAACTTTTAGTAACAGTTTAAAAAAATCAATACGAAAAAACGTTATTAATTTTTAACTTTCAACAACAGTTTGAAAATTTTATTACTGAAAAATATCTCTAATTGTAAGTTTTAACGATAATTTATAAAAATTGTGACAAAAAAAAGGCATAATTGTTAATTTTTAGCACCATATGTAAAAAATTATCATAAAAAATTATTTAACAACGATTCATTATGACTTATTTTCAATAAAACTTGATAGGAATTAAGTCCAACTATAAGAACATTTTAGTGGTTTATTTTAAATATATTTCCTACGTAATTTGACATCCGAAAAAGGACAGCCTAGGCCCATTTCAATACGAGGCATGAATGTCTGCTAATTTTGTCTATATCACCTCCTCGGCGTATTACCTGACTAGCAAAGAGGTTGCTCGGCATTAAACTTCCGCAATTCGGTGGGCCTGGTTGGATTTGGGCCATGCTTGATGGGTTTAGATGCGCTCTGTTTGCCGAATGTGCAATTTTTATACTCGGCTCACATAATTTTCAATTGAAATAATATTATTATTTAATTATTTCATAAATATTATTGACACATTATTTTAAATATATTTTTTATATAATTTTATTTTTCACAAATCAATTTTCTTTTTGCAAAATTTGATGAGAAGTGTTCTGTTCACATTGCAATGATCACCTTTTCTCTCTTAGGTTTGGAAAATTGGTTAAAAGTTGGTTTTTTTTTTAATTTTTTTGACTTTTTTTATAAAAAAAAATATGTAAAAAAGTAGAAAGGTGATATGACCTAAAATAAGTTAAAAGCTAACTTTTAACTTTTAGTCAAGTTTCCAAAACATCCCTTAATATTTATGAAGTGATATTGATGGGTTAAATCAAGAAGAATTATTCAATACTTTTGGAGTATGAAATAAGTTTTCTTAAAACAGTAGACTCAGTAATTTTTTGTTGGATGTTTAAAAAATAATTTGATAACAATGGTGCTAAATGTATCAATTTGTATATTAATTAGTGTACCAATATAATTATGACATTTTTATTTAAAAACGAGGGTAAATTGCATTGACAACCTTGAGATTTGTCTTTAATACAAATACACCCCTCACGTCCTGGAAATTACATCCCCTTCCAGGAGATTTAAACTTTCTTTACAATTCAATTCTTCTGATAGTCAACTATTAAGTCAACTATCTTTGGTTATGAGTTATTTTAGTGTTATGATTCAAAAGGTATTTAGTTATACCTCATGTGGTGTTTAATTATAACTATTTTTTTAATTATGATTGAAAAGGATAGAATTATAATATTTATAATAATTAACACTACAAAAACTTGTGTACCATAGCATTACCTGAATGTTTAATAGTCTAATAATGTATGTATTAGTATTAAATAAATTTTTATAATTCCTGTGGGGATGTATTTTCTGAATACCAACACGTGGTAATGTGACGCCGACGTGTCAGCCGAGGTGCTACGTGTCCAGGTTGTGACGCCGAGGTTATCTCGGCGTAGGCCAAGGTTATCTACGAAGATATCAGAATCCGAGATAAATGGATAAAAGATAAGGGACAGGAGTCCTAGAGTAAAGAGGAGACTTAGCTAAGATAAGGATAAAACTCTTACGGAGTTTATCTTTATCTCTTGAGAAATCCAAAGTAAGCACTGAATGGGAGTCCATAGAAGTCAGGCTTCTAATGGGATCAGGTTTATGTTGGCTATAAAAGAGAGGCACCCCCGTGGGTCTAAGGTACGCAATTTTATGCTTTGAGCAGTGAGTTTAGCACTTGATTATCTTGAGAGATATACTGACTTGATCGTCGGAGTGCCCCCGGGTAGAAGAACCACCACCGGAGCTTTTTCTTTCTGTTACAGGTTAGCTGAAGCCATCTATTCTGCCAGTGCTTTTCCAGCTGATTACTAGGCAGGCAGTGTGGTCAGAAAATTACCCACACAATTTGGCGCCGTCTGTGGGAACTTAGAAGAATAAATGGCCAGTAACAGACAGAAGGAAAACATTGGGGGCAACACTCTTGCTGGGAGTGGGAGACCCATTGACCTTGATGTCACAAGAGACGAATACAACGCAGAAACTCGTGACCAGAATACCGGCGTAAATGACGTCGGCCAGACTAACAAACCAGATCGAAGTAGCTACTACAATGAAGATGACCTCCAGGTATGGAAGGATAGATGCCTGCGGAGGGACGAAGAGGTGAAGGAGATGGTAAACAAATTGGCAGACCTGCAATCAATTGTCAACCTTATGATGCAAAATAACATCATGCAGCCACCATACCCGCTGCAGGACACGCCGATGCCAGCAGCCAATGCCCAGAAGCAAGGGCAGAAAGCAATTCCAGAAGCTCCCCAGCACAACGGGAGCGAAAGACATTTTCACCGACCTTCCAGGGAGGTCAGACGAAGGGAGCCAAAAAGAGAAGAACCACGAAGGACGCAACACGCAAAGGAGGCAGACCCCAGAGGGCATTGGAATGTTCAAGGGCAGGCACTGTGCTTCGACACAACTTATGAGGAGGGGTCGAAAAGGGCTCACCATGAGGCCGAGATTAGTATACCGAAGAGACTGAAGTCGAAAGATAGCCGAGCTCCTGGGCAGAGCAAAGAAGACTTAAGAGATTACCTCAAGAGGAAGCAGCAGAATGTCGAAGCCGAGATGACATCCCCAGATAAGCCGAGGACACCATT